AATTGATTTGTTAAATCAAATGAAAAATGGTGTGTCTGATTGGTCCAGACGCTACATTACTTTTCGAAGGACAGGGATGCGTTGGCCCACGACTGGCCCAACCTCCTCCTTTACGCTTTTCCCCCGATTGCTCTGATCCCACAGGTGATCAGCGAGTCAGGGAACAGAGACGCAAGGTGCTGTTGGTGGCCCCGCTCTGGAGGATCCAGCACTGGTTTGTAGAGCTGTGCCGGCTGCTCTCGGCAGCCCCGTGGCCCATTCCCCTGAGACGGGACCCCCTCTCATGTGAACGGAGCGATATGGCACCCCCAGCCAGAGCTGTGGGCTCTGCACCTTTGGCCTTTCAATGGGAGCTTGCGAACCTTCCCGAGAACGTGCTAAACACAATCTCTCAGGCTAGAGCACTGTCTACAAGACGCCTCTACGCCCTTAAATGGTCTGTCTTCTCCGCCTGGTGTACAGCCCGCGGCGCAGACCCAATCTCATGCGACATATCTCTGATATTGTCCTTCTTGCAAGAGCTGTTGGATAAGGGCCATTCCCCTTCCACGCTCAAGGTCTATGTAGCAGCCATAGCAGCTTCTCACGCTCCTATAGCTGGTAGGGATGGGCGTATCGATCCGAAGTATCGATATATCGATACTGACTGGAGTATCGAAAGTATCGATACTCAAACCAAAAATATCGATACTAAGGTGCGTTTTATTTACCAGTGGTTTTGTTTATTTAACAACAATAATAATAATAATAATAATGCATACAATATGCATTGAATTGGACGAATAACCTTTGTTAGCGAGTAATTGTGTAGGATAGAACTATTTTCCTGCCCATCTGAACACATGCAAATGTTGCAAGACAGAACCAATAAATCACAGAGAGCATTCACTCACTGCTGACAGTGCATTCAAACAGGGCTGCGTTTCCCAAAAGTATCATAAAAAAGCATTAAAGGTCTAGAAGGCTCAACCCGCCTCGCCCCATCACTGTCCCTACATGGGATCTGCCCACGGTGTTGAGGGCTCTGAAGAGCGCGTCCCTTGACGCTTAAGACTGCTCTGCTTCTAGCATTAGCATCGGTAAAGCATATGGGAGATCTGCAGGCGCTATCAGTGAGCCCCACTTGCCTCGAATTCGGAACCAATGACTCTAAGGTCGTCCTGAAACCAAGGCATGGCTATGTACCTAAAGTGCTCTCTACTCCATTTAAAGCACAGGTACTTATATAGCCGAGGACCCCGCCTATTCTGGCAGGCTTTGGCGGGCTTTACCTCCATATGCAGCTCCGCTGCCGAGCCATTGGTTCATTTTTTTTATTCATTGCACGAACCAATGGCCGTGCAGTTACACTGCGTTATTGAAAGGCTTCAGTCATCGGAGAAAAAGGAGTTTTCCCCAAGCGTCTTAAACAGACACAGTACTCGTTCCGTATCTCAGGGAACCGAGGTTACGTTGGTAACCGAGTACGTTATTATTATCAACTAATTAAGTTTTTGCTTATTAATATATTTGTGGGAACCATTATACATTTATACTACCATTCAAAAGTTTGTGGTAATATTATATTTTCACAATATGATGTTTTTACAGTATTTTGATCAAATAATTTCAGTTTTGGTTTGTATAAGAGACTTGGCAAATGGTAGCAACACTTAGCCAAGTGCTAAAGCATGCTATTAATGCAGTGAAAAAGGAAGTTACTGTAACTCAGGCATGCAGTGTTCAATCTGCCCCAAATTTAACAAGTTTTATCTTAGTTCTGTCTTTAGTCCTTTAGTTTTTATCTTTAGTCCTGTCCTGAACACATCTACATGCCCGTATTCGGTTATAGTCATAGTGCCACCTGCTGGCAACAGGAAGTGACATGTTTAACACTGTTGTGGACTCCTAGCAACATATTAAAAAGCGTCAGCAAGTGTTACATAGGCTGGCAACATGCTAGAAACATGAAAAACATGCTAGTAGCACTTAGCTAAGGGTTAAAGCATGCTATTAATGCTGTGAAACAGGAAGTTGATGTAACTCAGGCATGCAGTATCCAATCTGCCTGAAACTTAACATGTTTGATGATAGTCCTGGCCCTATCATCAAACACATCTACATGCAAAGATTCAGTTATAGTCATAGCGCCACCTACTGTCAATAGGAAGTGACATGTTTGCCATCGTGTGCTAAACATGTTAGAAACATGCTCAAAGATGCTAGCAACACTTGGCTAAGTGCTAAAGCATGCTATTAACTCCATCAAACATGAAGTTGTTGTAACTCATGCATACAATGTCCAATCTGCCTCAAACTTCACACGTTTTATAAAAGTCCTGGCCTGAACACATCTAAAGACCAATATTCAGTTATAATTATAGCGCCACCTACTGGCAACAGGAAATGACTTTGTTTACACTAACTTAAACATGCAATGCCCGATCTGCACCGAACATCACATGTTTGGTAAGAATACTGGCCTGAATACATCTACACTTCAATGTTTATTTATGATCATAGCGCCACCTGTTGGCAACAGGATATGTCATGCTTTACACTAACTCAAACATACCATGTTCAATCTGCACCAGACTTCACATGTTTGATAAAGGTCCTGGACTGAAGACATCTACATGCCAACATTGAGTTATAATTATAGCGCCACCAGCTGGCAGCAGGAAGTTTGGCACATAAATGACTTTCACATATTCCTCCTATATTTACCACTTTAAATGCATATTGCCCACCATTTGCTGTTTTCCGAAAGCCACCGGATGGCGGTGAGCCCGGGTGCTGGGTGTATATATATATATATATATATATATATATATATATATTTACATATAGTGTATAATAAATAACAAAGAGGGAATCTGAGAGCAATAATAGCATACAATATATTCAAAAATGCATTTATCTTTTTTTTCTATCTCTATAGCATTTCCATAATATGTTTTGTACAATATGTAATTGTATGTGCTTTATTATAGTACTAAAATATCAAAACTAAATGTATTAGATATTAAGAATGTCTGAATGAACTTGTAAAATCTTCACAATCAAGACCAATCAATACTCTAGTTTGAGCACCACAGTGCTTTGGTAAAAGTATATGTATCTGTTTGACTGTGTGTCCTTGCATTTATATGTACTGTATGTGTAAGAGATGAGGATGCAGACAAAGAAAATGACATAACCATCCTCTCATTTCACACATGCACCGACTCACCGCTGCTCCTTGTTGCTATGGTTACTTGGAGTAGGTTGCCGAGTGAGGATGGTTCCGTCATCAGCAGCGAATCAGTGAAAGAGGTCTCAGGAAAGGGCTCGAGTGTGCAAAAAGCCACAGCACAGCAGAAACTCACGAAGGAAGAGACGAGGAAGAGTAATGGTGAGAAATGCCTCCACAGTTTCAGCACTTTCGCACTTGTGCTGTCAGGCCACAAGACATCCATGAAATGAAAGCTCTTTTTCCAAAATGTCCTATTCTCATAAAGAACATACAATCACTCTTTTCCAAAAGCCTAATGAGCTGCCTCCATAAACATTTGAAGGGAGTTGTGCTCTTGACAAATTAAGGTAGGATTCTAAAATGTAGGAATAATTGTGCTAACTCTCCAAAAATACTCAAAATTAATTCATGAATTAATTTTATTAATTGTATTTATTTATTCATTTATGGGATTGTGTGGGGGGGGGGGGG